ATATATACACACACACATATATACATATATATACACACACACATACATACAAGAAATTATAATCCTTTATATATTATATATATATATAATTTTTATTAAAATGAATGCTATGGCTGATACCCTATAAATGCCTGATATTTCATATACATACTATTTAGTAAATTTTACACAATACAAGCAATTATAAGAAGTATTAATCAAGCATTATAACATTGTAAAGTATAAAAAAAATTATACAGTATAAAAAAAATTACTAAAAATGTACTTTGAAATCTCCTATTGGAATAGTTGACTTTCTATAGGCTGTGGACTTTAATAGTTTAACCAACACCATTACTTATGCAAACCATAATGTGCAACAAACAACAGATTTGATTAGGGAAATAAATGAGATCCAATAATAGGATTCCATCTAAAATTCTACTGTACTGTAACACATGCTGCAGAATCACATGCAAATCAATAGCCGCTTCTCTGTCATAAGTTGATCTCATGCAACACAGCATTCATTAGCGTCACTTCTGCTTTATTAGTCTAAAGGCATCCGAGACCGGTTGCGCTTGATTCTGTAAGAAACCAAAATGGTGACACTTCATTCATTTCATTATGCAACAGTGCTTCAGGAATCTCATCTAATGGTGATATGGATATGGAAAATGAGACTGTATCCCTTCGGCCAATTACAGCTTTTTCTTGATGTAATGGTCTACCGCTGTAATCTGGTCCGACATATGTGGCCTTTTGCTTCAGATGATGATATACAGCCATACACCAGGCAAAAGGGCATTTGTAAATGAGGGCGTTCGTGTTATGCTCACATGACCAGTTAGATCACTGGTTTGGTAATTAGGAAGCCTATATTTGATTGCCTGGAAGGCAATTTGACAGGCACATTTGTGGGGATTGAATCAGAGTCCCTTTGAGGGTTATAAAAAAAGGGATGAACACTGCAACCAGTCAGAGATCGTGCAGAAGGAAACACACACACACTCCCTACCTTCTCAGCCTGGGCCTCCAAACTCTTAAGATTGTTGGTGACATTTTTCAGCTCCTCCTCCAGCTCAGCGCATTTGCTATATACAGAGCAGCCGTTTTGATTTTGAAGGAAGCAGAAAAGAAAGGGGCACAGGGCAAAGGGAAGACATGAAGACAAGCCAGCAGCAGTGGCAGAGTAATAGAGATGATGTTAAATACATGAACAGCAGAAGAGAGGCCTTAAATGATTGTCTGTGAGGGAAAGTTCACTTAAAAATAATACTGTTGTTTACTTGACCTCATGCCATTTAAAACTAATATCACTTTCTTTCTTCTGAAAACACAAAAATATGATTTTTGCAGCGCTGCTTGCACATACAATGTGCAAGATTTAGGAGCTCTAAAAATGACCAAAAAAAAAAAAATTAAGTATTAGAAGAAAACTAATACTTTTACTATGCAAAGACATTAACTTGACCAAAACACTTATTTTCTTACACTACAATAAGTTTACAACATTAATTTGATTAAATAAATGCATCCTTGGTGGAATTTTTTTTTTAATGTGGACTTTCAGCAAATAATTTAAATGCTGTTCCTCAATGGCTAAACACAAAAATATGATTTTTGCAGCGCTGCTTGCACATACAATGTGCAAGATTTAGGAGCTCTAAAAATGACCAAAAAAAAAAAAATTAAGTATTAGAAGAAAACTAATACTTTTACTATGCAAAGACATTAACTTGACCAAAACACTTATTTTCTTACACTACAATAAGTTTACAACATTAATTTGATTAAATAAATGCATCCTTGGTGGAATTTTTTTTTTTAATGTGGACTTTCAGCAAATAATTTAAATGCTGTTCCTCAATGGCTTGTGTGTGTGTGTGTGTGTGTGTATGTATATTTTGATTCAAAGAATATAGTGCACATTGCATTAACGACTTTTGTTGTACAGCCCACATCATCATTCACCATCATTATATGAAAAACAGGAAAATCTGTAAACTATCTACTGAGTTTCACAGAAGAATCCTAAGCTTTTCAAACAACATGAGTAAATAATTTCAATTTTTGGAGATATTATTCGTTTAAAGTGTGTTAAAGTAGTGCATTTGTGTTGTCTTCCTCTGCCAAAAGTGCTTGGTTTTGGACCTACTGCACGTTTAAATGCTACTGTGTGGTGGTGTGAGCAGAGTTTAAGGGTCAAGGAAGTAAAACTACTGTGATTGTAAAACTGAAAGCTGTCATGAGCTGTTCTGGGCAGTTTGTTTTAGAACATGAACAAATACGCTTTGGCTTTAGGCAGATGAGACTTAAAAACGCACAGCGACTGAAGCGTGTTGCATGAACACGCACATCATGCCACTATCAAGTAAACAACTCATGCGGTTTACGCAAGAATGATATCTGGAAGTGGATGGTTAGATGAGTGGAAGGAAGGTGGAAAGATGAAGGGATAGGGTGGAAAGATGAACCAGGTAAAACAGTAGAAGCACAAGATTAAAAACGACCAGTGCTGGAGGGAGGAGTCCTGGTTTTATACTCTTCTTGTTCCTTTCTAGTTCACTAGCTCACTTTCACTCAAGTATTCAAAATCCAGTTCCAGCTAGAAAGCAACATTCTCCCAATTGCCTGTACATCCCACGTCTCCAACAAACACATAAGTGGCCACAAAGTCCGACATTTAAACACAGAATTTTGCAACTAGCATATATACCTTCTCATCTGAGGCATGCAGAGACTTCAGTGTCTGGTCAAGAGCTCTCAGCTCCTCCTCCATCTGCTTGACATGGCTGTTAGTTTGAGTGGGGAGGGGAAGGTATGTCAGGTCAAAGGTCACACATGCCCAAACACAAATGAGAAGAGAGGGGGACATATGAATTTAAGATGGAGTCAAGCCAGTGAATTCACTCACTCAAACACACACGCACACACACACACACTCTCACACAAAGAAGGATTATGGATATGATAGAGCATTCCTATTGTCATGCAAAATGAGGCATTTTCTCACGCTGAGAGAACAATGAATTTGAGTTTTAAAATGGACACTAAGAAAAAATATGAGCTAAAGGTCAGTATGTGTGGTATGTACTTAGAATAAATGTGATTATGTATATTTTGATTTTGAATCTGAAATTAACCTCTCAGCAAGCTCTGCTCTCTCCTCTGTACGCTCCAACTCTCCCTCAACAATCACCAGCTTACGTGCCACCTGTAACACACGTCAATACTTCATTGTCATAATTTTGTCATAATGATTACTTAGAAAACATATTTATGCAATATTAAATCTAACTTTGAGGAATATGGTGTAGTTAAATGAGCTATTAAAGAGGTTTATGTTAATTGTAATAAAGCTGAAATCAATGAAAGTATAATTATTAGATGAAAAAATATTAAAAATAGAAATTTTGCCTTGGCAACTGAAGTAAAGTTTAGGTTAAAGTACTAATGACTAAACCAGAAAAAAAATAATCACAAAATTAAAATAGAATTAAATAAAAACCCTAATAAAAATAATACGCAAATAAAAAATACAAACAATTTTTTTAAAGGAAACTACTACTACAAAAAAAAATCTAATTCAAATATGAATAAATAGCATATAATAACGCTGGTTAAATTACCTCCTCATATTTGCGGTCGGCCTCCTCAGCAATGTGCTTGGCCTCCTTGAGTTGGATCTCCTGGAGCTCCATCTTCTCCTCATCCTTCAGAGCCCTGTTCTCAATCACCTTCATCCCTCTATTCCATAGAGAGAGCGAATTAAACGGAAGTAGGGCAAGTTAGGGTGGGAAGAATGAAGATATAACATCACTCTGAATGCGTATGCCTGATTAGGCACACTTACCTCTCGCTCTCATCTGCGGCCTTCTCGGCTTCCTCCAGCTTCTGCAGAGCTGTGGCCAGTCTCTCCTGAGCACGATCCAACTCTTCCTCAACGAGCTGGATACGCCTGTTCAGAGAGGCCACCTCTGCCTCAGCCTACAAGGCAAACATGACAAAAACCACAGGAGATTAGTACAGATACACTATTCCACTGACCTTCAAGCGCCACACGGCGAGCGTGATGCGAGATAAGAAACAGGAAGATGGGGAAACACTGGGATAACCTGGAAGAACCAAGATGACTTGGCGACAAATGTGGAGTCAAAACTGGAAACTGGAACCAATGAGACAATGGAAAAATTTAATGTGGTGGAATCATCTGGGAGCTTCTGCTTAAGCAGAGCGGCACCACTATGTTTGCGATCACAATTATTTTGTGATGAGTGAGTGTACACAGTGACTAAAATTGTTTTAGCAAGGCGGCACTATTAACAATGCTCTGACTAAGGATAGGGATTATTCAAATAATTGTTCCAAACTATTTCAGCATGGAACATGTGGCCCTCTTTGAGTTATGGACATGAATGATGCCTCAAAAGATGTTGCTTACTGAAGAAAGGTGTCCTATGCCTTTCTAATGTAAGAGAGAGAGAGAGAAAAAAAAGTCCAAGTCACCAACGCCCCGCCAGCAAGTCAAACTCTGAGCGAGTGGAAGTAACGCGAGGATCAGATGTTTCACGCGCTGGTCTCTTTGATTGGACCGATGCTTTCTTGAATTTTCTTAGATACAAATAATAGTGTTTGTGAAAAGAAAAACAGGAACGAGATATATTCTCTCGGCCAGGAGCTTTTGAAAGTTGAATTTAACGCGAGCAAAGCCGTGTTCAAGCAGGCGTTCGGTTTCTCATTCGAATTAATGAATGCGTTTTTAATGTCATGAAGTCTTTCTTCCCTCCCCTTGCTTTCTCTTCACCCAGTTTGGTCAGTTGCCTGAACTCTTCCTTTTTTTTCGGCTCACTTCCGGATACCCCACCCAGTCTCCAACGGTTTAAGGGCTGAGAAATGTGGTGTTAACTGATCCTGGATCAGCGGCAGCGCCGAGTCGAGTCCCAGCGGAACTGGTTCAGGGTTGATCTCCGGTCAGCAGGGGTTTAGTGCGGTCTGCGTGATTCTTACGGAAGAGCCTCCCTGGTTTTACACGTGACCTGACCAGGTAGATGACGTACAGCTAATAAAGCATTGGCATTCCAGGCCACTCCTTAAAATCCAGGAATGAGCTCGTAGTCGTAGATCAATGGGAAACTTTTTAGACTATTGTGATCATTAGGATGTTAGGAATTTTGAGAAGGAAGTTGAGTTCATATTTTTTTGATATATTAGTAAATTAGTATCTTTAGCTGGTATCTCATATTTTGGAATGACCTTATCATGATTTGCTTATTCATTGTAGCTCAGTTGTTCTCAGTAGGGGTTGGGCCTACTAGGGTGACAACTTTAAATTGTTTAAAGGGGTCCTATTATGCTTTTTCACTTTTTGAATTTTAGTCAGTGTGTATATGTTTGGGCATAAAAAAAGATCTAGAAAGTTACGAATCGCAAAGTCCACTCCGAAGGGAGATATTTAGTTTTCAAGAACTACAACGAACGGCTCGTTTGGACTACTGCGTTTGTTTCCGGGCTTTGTGATATCACAAAGCGGCTCATTAGAATATCATTACAAAGAATTCCTGCCTTCAGAAATTCGAATGGTTGGGGGGTGGGGCGAGGTTGAGGTTAGAACGCTTGGTTGAGTGAGTGCATCAGACGAGACGATGAAGAAGAAGAGCTGCTGTGCTGTCAGCGTTTCGGCATGTCTAGAACAATTCTTATAAGTATAACACGACGTAGCTGGGCGCCGCGGACAGACGCCGAACGGTGCCGCCGGTGTGCCTGCACTCATAGAAAATAAAGTCTTTGAATTTTAAAGACGTGGCGCGATGCTGCGCTTCTCGTCCGGTGTGCAACCGCCTGAAACACGTTTTTTTTCACCTCCGTGCCCAAGCGTCTTTGTTTGGGCTTTCGAAAAGGGATGATGTTAGGAAACAGTGGTTGCCATTTATTTTTTAACTCTGTTCCTGAGCATTATAACCCCAATTTGCTATTGTGTGCTGCGCATTTGACTGAGGACAGCTTCCACAACACGAGGGAGTACAGTGCCGGATTCGCCCAAAAGCTTTTGTTGAAAGACGGAGCAAGGGGGCGTGGCAGTACTGAAACACCGTCTAAGCTGTTCGCCAATCACAACGCACTGGGACAGCTAACCAATCACAACACATTTTGTTTTTCGGAAGGTGGACCTTCATCAAAGCCGGAACTAATAGAGCCGTTTGTGCCAGGCTGGGGAGAAAGGTATTTTAATAAAAAAAATTGTGAAACATAATGCATTTTTCGAACCACCAAGCATGAGAACATGTTCTAGTACACCCCCAAAACAAAATCAAGACTTTGTGAAAAAGCATAATAGGACCCCTTTAAAATAAGTTGTCTTAAAATGCTTTATCACTTTAAAAAATATACATTTAAAATGATAAAAAGTCGTACACTTTATTTATATAGCGATTTATTCAGTACAGAGCTTTATTTATTAAAAAGGGAAGTTAGAGAATGAGTGATGCCAAATTCAAATACAAGACAAATCAAAATTTAGCTGTAAAGTATCTCTAAAAGACAACAATGTTGTTATTCAGCTTGAGTCAGCTCAATGTTGATTCAGTCCAGTTCAATATCAGTTGATGTTACAAAATTTGTCAATTACTAACAAATTTGATTCAGTTGTAAAGCAACTAGACAATAGTGGCATCATTCAACTCAGTTCAGTCCAAGTTTTGTTCATGTCCAATAGTGTCTGCGCAGTCAAATCAATGATATTACTGGATATTATATGTCTTTAAACCCCAACTAAGCAAGCCAAAAGGGTTAATGTTAACACAATCAATGCAAATTAATTAAGCAAATTAATGTTAACTCAATCAGTTAGTATCTACAGTATATCATTATGTAATTATTCATTATTACATCTTTGGTGCTTTTCTGACAACTAAAATTATGTGTTTTGGTCTTATGTGTCATTTGTAATACTTGAGCTGGATGTTGACATCACTGAATTCAATGATGAACTGTCTTTAACTGAAAAATGAGTGTTTACTATTGTCACTTTGCATTATTGACACTATTTTCCTAATTAATGCTGTTCAGTTGCTTTGACACAATCTGTATTGTTAAAAGCGCTATATAAATAAAGGTGACTTGACTTGACTTGACTTCAGAATCAGCATCCACTGAATTATGTCTGGCATATTTAGGCTGTAAACTAGAACAAGGAGTGTTACAAATCCTTTACTAGTCATTACGTGTATTGTCGGAGTCACAGTAAGTTCCTGTGCTCTTGAGCAAACAAACCCTGATTCAGAGAAATTACAAAACCACAGTCATATATTTTCATGTGTCAATATGTCTGACAGAAGGCCGCATTGGAGTGATAGCACAAGCGTGGACATTGATAAATCTGTTGTTGGCTTGCCTGTAATAGAAACAGACCAAATGCTTTGACTTATATTTAATTTTTTAACCAAATTATTATCATCCTTATTATTATTACAACATTGATGATTACATGTAATATCAGTTATTACATTTAAATACTTTCATTTTATAGTATATGTTATGTTTGTATTGTTGTAGTCTAATGATTATTTACTTTTTGTGTAAAAGAAGTAGAGATAAATCAATAATCACAATTTCTTCTGCATATATAAACAAAAATAACCAGTATTGGTAGTAAAAATATTGGCAGATTTGTAGTATTTGGGTCTGCCATAGTTATTATCTATAGATTATTTGTGTTGTGTTATGTTGAACTGTGTTGAGTTACGTTTTTTTTAATAACCTTTGAGGAATACCTATGAAATTGAGAGATTTGAATAATGTGTAACTGTATCTTTCTGTTAATTCAAATAGTCTAACATTGTGATTTCGATTTAAGACTATTGAAAGATTCCATTATAGAATTTACCCACTGGATTACATGAGGTCATTAAAAAGAATCCAGTGAACAAGCTGAAGTCACAGGCCTGGGCAAAACTGAACAAGACTATAGTAATGCTGCCTGCCTGTCTGTGCAATCTTTCTGGTATCTGTACGCTGTGTCCTGAACACTGTTTAAAGTATGCCCTAGGCTATGGTTTTATATCTTGATTTTGTAGTTCTTACTTGAAAGACTTTTAATATTGACAGACCCTAAAGGTTTAGCCTCAGATCAGTGTTAAAGGTAAAGGAATGTTGACTGATCCTGAATCATTCTGCTGTAGAAAAGCAGCAAAATCAAGTTGCATCATCATTTCCTGTTTCACCCTTCCTTCCTGTCTCCCTTCACTAGTGTGGAACATGTTCCAGAGACTCCATAACTTGGGACAAGGCACTTTTTATCATATGTTGCCACCATCTCACCAGATGATGGCGCCAGATGATCTAGATTGACACAGCATGTACCCCCACTCATATGATCATATACAATTTTTCAGTATGATTGATAATATTCTGCTTGTCTTTCATTTTCTATATATAAACGGAGGGGAGAAAATGTTTAAAAGTTTGGGGTCAGGAGATTTTTTTTGTCTCTTATGCTCAACAAGGTAAACAGTAAAACAGTAATATTGTGAAATATTTTTGCAATTTAAAATATATGTTTTCTACTTTGAATATATGTTAAATGTAATTTATTCCTGTGATGGCAAAACAGAATTTTCAGCATCAGTCTTCTGTGTCACATGATCCTTCAGAAATCATTCTAATATGCTGATTTTCTCAAGAAACTTTTCTTATTAATGTTAAAAACAGTTGGCTAGTATGTTATGAAACTAATGTGTGGCAATTTTTTTGTTGTTGTTTAAGATTGAATCTACTGTGATAAGAAATGAAGTACAAGTGACATAACTGAGCAGAGGTTTTTTGTGTTTTTGTCTGGGCTGATAGAAAAACTGAGACTTATGTCTCTAATGGCCTGCTGACACTATAGGTTATAGGTGACGAGGCTCAAGGTTTGACATTCTGACCTCAAGACACACTCACATAAACACATGCTCACTTACATCAACATGTTAAGACCCACTCATCCACCCGCAGCAGCTGTACACATATTTCCTTAAGCATTTGGAAGGCCCAAGGAACTGTGGCAATGTTCTTAGTATTTCAGTTCTACATTTATGCACAAAGGTTGTATCTATCCTCAACCTCTCACATTTTCACCATGACTGCTCTAGACACTGTTAAGGCTGCTTGCTCAGAGCTCTATTTAAAGGATACACCCCCAGATTCAAACCGGATCACTGTGTCTGGTCGGCCTGTCTGTCAAGCTCACACTGCATGACGATGAGTGACTAGTTGAACTCCAAATTACCACTAAATCCAGCTGAGTTTATTGCAAAACTCTTTTTAACTGTGTGGGGTAGCAAGGTGTGATAGCTTGGTGGTAAAGTTTTTTGACTCAAGGTTTGGATGAAAATAGATTTCAAAGCGACAGCTGTAATGGAGGCAACCCACACTCACCCTTTGTTTGGAGCTACTGTTCTCATGCTGCTTGTCTGATTAGGGGTGGCCAGATTCAAAACAATAAATCCTCCTCGTATGACAATGTTATATTAACATTGTATGACATGAAATCTTTTTCTGCTCTCCCTCTCTCTGTGAGGTCAGAGATCATCTCCTAGCCTGTCAAGCTAGTGTTCAGCTGGTTTAGATGGTCAACAAGCTGGTTAAAAAGTGCCCAAAACCTTTCTAAAACCAGCCAATAGACCGATTTAAGTTTTTTTTTTCATGTACTATTATTTAATTCTAGATAGAACACGATACAATATCTCTGTACCTCTCTCTCTTTTACACACAGTCTTCAAAGCCTGTGGTATTCAGTCATCTTCTGAAGGCTGAATATTCTGACCACAGGTGTGCCTGCTATATCCGGAGCCCAGAACAAAGGGACAACGACAGGCAATAGACAGACGTACTCGGTGTAACAGAGTTGAGCGTGATGCCACAGTCTTAGTTTAGCAGTCAAAGAGGGAGTCAAGTTACACAATGGTTACACAAAGTTACAACAATGAATTGCCTTTTTCTTAATTGAAATGAATCAGTTCTTGAGATGGATATGTATGAAAGCATTAGCAAATTTTCCATGTTGATAAAAGCTAGTATTTTTCATAAACACTCCAGAAGAACAATACTAAAAATGCAAGACTCGCAAAGCTTTAAACCTCTACCAAGAGTCTGTTCATGCCTGGAGTGTTCTTTCTTATGTTCATTGTGTTCCTCTCACAAACACTGATTTACAGCCCTTGCTGCTAAATCAGCTGTCTCAAGGTAGTAATTTTCTCACTGAGGCCTGCAGGCAAGAGTATGCAGAATATCACCCACACGTTTTGTCACCTCGTGTGTGAGTTATGGATAAGTTGGGAACCAAGAACTTATTCTGATTCAGAATAAACAGGTTCTATTAAAAATAAAATAAAACAAAATTAAATTAAAATGACATTCAATTAACGGTTCCCCAAAGTAAATTTGTCTAATAGCACAAAATAGCACATTTTAAATCTAAAAGAGTTCACCTTTATTTAGTGTCACCAAAACATTGCTACTGAATTTACAGCGCAAAACAAACATGACTAGTTTAGCAATTTCCAAACAAATGACCATCATGAACCGATTATTTTTAGTGAATCAACAACATGGAGCACTTCCATTGTAGTCTGATTCTTGAACGAATGACTCTTATGAGTCGTTTTCTTTTTTAGTGAATCGACAACATGCAGCGCTACAAGTGTAGTGAACAAATGACTCTTACGAGCTGATTCTTTTTAGTGAATCGACAACATACAGAGCAGCAGTGTTGGGGAAAGTTACTTTTAAAAGTAATGCATTACAATATTGCGTTACTCCATAAAAAAAGTAACTAATTACTTAGTTACTTTTTATGGAAAGTAATGCGTTACGTTACTTTTGCGTTACTTTTTAAATCTGGACAGGGCTTGCTTGTTTGTTTTTAAAATAAAAAAGTTCTATTTTTGGCAAATATAAAAGCCTTTTCACACCAAAAGTGAAATGAATAAGCCTCAGGCTGAAGGGAAAGTAAATTTAAGTCCGTACAGTAGAATGCTGAAGAAGACATTTCAACACACTTCAGCAATAAAAAAAGACACACAAATGTTTGTCTAGAGTAATTTGTGCTTATTAGTATGGTTGAACTGGATCATCGAAGGTCAGAAGCAAAGACATTGGTTAATAAAATGGGATTAAATACATAAAGGATATTTGTGTTGTTTAACATTTAATTATTGCAGGTTTGCGTTATATTCTGAGTATATTCTGAGCATTTTTTAAATTCATTTTGAGGAATACTGAATCTGTTTTTTTATTTTGTGAGTGAGATTAATGAATGCATATTCATATTTATTTTAGAACTACAGTAGCATCTTCTGATTTCTCTCAACATGGGGACAGGAGAGCTGTCAGTCAATAAATTGGAAAAAAAGTAACTCAAATATTCTCTTGTAAATGAAAAAGTAATGCATTACTTTTCTAGTTACTTGAAAAAAAGTAATCTGATTACGTAACTCACGTTACTTGTAATGCGTTACCCCCAACACTGCAGAGCAGTGTGGTCTGATTCTGAACGAATTATTCTCCTGAACTGTTTTTGTAGTGAATGAACAACATATAGCGCAACCATCGTAGGCTATTAGCTATAGCTATTTGTTCTCAAACGAATGACTCTAATGTGTTGATTCTTTTTAGTAAATCAAGCACATACAGCCTAGCTAACTGTGAAACGTAAACCTGACTGGTCATATGGCATTGTGTAAACACATTATGTGCTTTGTCAGAAGTGAAATAAATGAAATATATTTTTTGATTGTTTGGTTTTTGTTTATATAGTGTTTTTAATATACTATAGGTTTAGGCCAATTATTGCACTCCATTTATGCTGCCTCTAAAAAGATTGTAAAAAATAGTGAAAAAAAACTGATATGAGATATTTTTGATGACAATATGAATACATTTATGTGAGGAAGTTAGTCTGGCTAGCTGACATCACAGTCAAAAAGAGGGGTGTCAGCTGTGGAGGAGTGAATGGAGAGAATGAGAGGAATGGAGGGGTGGGATCAACAAGAATCCCCGGATAAAGTTTAAAGTATTGCATTTGTGTTTGTGTGTGATTTGGTGCTTTTTGATCATCAATCACTCACATCTGCAGCTTTCTTCTCAGATATCTCCAGTTTCTCCTGGGCATCCTTCAGGGCCTCTGAGTATTTATCCAGCTCATCTTCAGTGCCCTTCAGTTTCTTCTGCATCTGAATCAGCTCATCCTCATGCTGGGAGAAAGAAAGAAAGGAAATATGAGAGTGGAGGAGATAGAAAGAGAGGGGGAAAGAAATATCGGTATGAAATCATCCACTAGTATACAACTTCACACATAGCCTCATGCCCCCATCACTTCTGCCTCAAGCTGGCACAAAGCAACACTTTTCAGTGTCTTTTTGCCCACCTTCTTGAGGTGACGAGCACAGATATGCAGCTTACCAAAGCTACAGCTTGTCTAAATGTGAATAAAAATACGCTCACAGGCAACCCAAAACTTTCACACATCCTCAGCCCTATCTGCAACTCCCTTCTCCATCTCTTGCTAAGACTGTGTTTATCCGCCCTGCATTCTTTCAGTGGCAGATCACAGGCTTGCAACTGCTACTAAGTGCTGGGCTCAGTATCTAAGACTTCACATATCAAGCCTTGGTGGTGGGTGCTTGTTTTCCAAGAAGGGTTTAAGACAGTTGTCTGCAATGACCAGGTGCATTATATTCTTATAGTCCAATCAAAAGCGAAAGTTCTGGCATAATTTAGCCCCCTCATGTATGACTTTCTTTCTTCTGTGGAACACAAAAGAAGATATTTTGAAGAATGTTGGTAACCAAGGAAGTCAATGGGACATTCAATATATCTTCTTTTGTTTCCCACAGAAGAACGAAGGTCATACAGTTTAATTTTTGGGTGGACTATGCCTTTAACAAATGTACACATTGTAAAATGACTTAGATCTTTGTCTCATATTCAGATCGGTTTTGGTCCAGAAGGAAAAAAGTGGGTCTGTGGTGCATTAAGCATTCAAACCACATCTTAAATGATTAAACATTTGGTCCCCCAAATTAAAAAGCTCTCTCTAAACATCAGCACTGAAATGAAGCATCTCCATCCTGTCCCATTTAGTCAATATACGTTTTAGTTGTCTCAACCTTTGACCTTTCCACCTCCGCCTCACCTGTTTGCTTCTGTCCTCTGCTGCTTTCCTGTCGGTCTCTGCTTGTTCGGCCTGGTCCAGAGCATTCTCCTTATCCAGCTTGAGCATCATCATCTTCTTCTTGACGGCTTCCATCTTGGCGTCTGTGAGTAGGGTCTTACGGTACCAGAAACAAAAAGTGGCAGTGCAGTAGATGAGGGCTAGTGGTTTAGGAACAGGAGCTGGTCAAGCGAGGAACGTGGACAGAGAAAGAGAGAGAGGGAGTAAAGTGGAGAGAGACCAAACTCAGCCAGGGATAGTGGGAAGGCATTTATATCTTGGGGCATCAGGCCCCGCCCAGTTTCTAATAAACCCCGCCCACTTACTCATTATAGCTCACCTAATACAGTCATGTTTGGGGTCTGATGTGGCCATGATGTAGTGATGTAATGTTGGTTCTCAGGACCTTATCATAATTAAAATTCAGTTGAACTATATTATAAACAGTATTTTAATGTCGTCAGCAACTATAAATTCACTCCAGACAGCTTTCACTTACATATTTAGTTTTTTCTTGCACACCTATTGTTTTCATCCTTCTCTTCTGTTAGATCATTCCTTTCTGAAAGAATGAACTAGAAGATATGACATGACAGAGACAAGAATGGACGTCAATGGACAGAGCTGTGGTTCGGCTATAATAAGACAAAGCCACTGTTTGTGACAGGCACAGGTGTGTGTGTGTGTTACATTACTCGTATCCCCAGCTGTGCTGTTCCCTTTATGGCGCGTCAGTCGCCACAATGATCGCTTTACAGCTTTTTTTCTAATGTGAGACACCGTTCTATCATTAACTTGCCTGACCACGTATAACAAGGCTTTGGGGAACCACACTTGTTGTGGTAAGATTGCCTTTGGAATGCAACAATCCCAAACACACCGTCATCTAGATGATTTATCTCTCTATATATTTATTCATAGAGCAAAATAGAGAAAAAAAAAACCACTGAAATAATTTGTATTTGTCAACTAAGCATGCATTTGGGAATGAACCTTAATATCAAAATCATAAATTCAGTCTTGTCTATATTTTTGACTAATGCATTTGGGAATGAACCTTAATATCAAAATCATAAATTCAGTCTTGTCTATATTTTTGCCTATGGTGTAAAATAGGTTACATTCTCCTCTAGCACAGATTTTCACATCATTCATCCATCTGCATTCTTTACTGGATTAACAATATCTGAATTTGAATTTGAAAGCACATTTTTCTAATAGTGATTAGTCATTCATGTGCGTCTTTAACTATAAGTTCCATTAAGCTCTTGCTGATGTAAAGGGACAATGATGGTGTCAGGTTCTGGGCAAGCAGACTGACTATTTTCAGTCGGGCAACTCATTGTTTAAGAACAAATAAAACAGATTTAGTTTTGTTGTATTTAGATTTACTTAATGTATTCAGAAAGGAAGAAGCTATATTTTGTACTATGCACAAATAGAACGTTTACATAAGTCAGTGCTTTATAAATCTATGATAAATAATGTACCATGCAATTCCTCCGGTAAAGGCATTTCACTGCAAGGTGAGGGAAGGCAATTGTTGCACTGTAATGCACAGCTAGTCAGTGTATCACTCTTTTTTATGTGCTCTGATTTGTTCGATAGATTTACTCATTCTTTCAACAGTTTAGGACAGTGAAGTGATGGATGAGGTATAGTACATGTGTGTCTGAATGCCAGCTATGCTGCCTGTGCCACCAAGCTAATAATACTCGTCCCTTGTCTGACATTGTTTTAGCTGCTAGCCAGAGACAAAGATCTGGATTCAGATGGATATGTAAATGCACATATGAATTTAAATATACACGTTTTATTATTAAAATAAGGATAGAAACATACAAAAATCGGTTTGTGTGTAGCTGTGGAAATATCAGAGCTCTTTGGAATACTCAATTCTGATTGGTCAATTGCAGCACAAACCCTGCCCCACAGCTGATCCCAAAGATTTTATACAAACACATTCTCATGGCAAATCAGAATTTATGTTTTGGCATATTGGTGTCGAATTTAAATAAATTTGTTTGATCTCATTCATAATTTTTTTTATACAATTTGCTTATGCCTCACTGACGGTTAGTATTAGGGGTGGAGCTTCAGGTCTAGTTTTTCTAAAAATCTTATGAATCAAATCGTACTGTACAAATTCGCCACCAATTATCACAACATAAAATAGTTTTCTGTATAGTGAGAATGACCATCGAGGACTTTGGTATTCAAGGGTCAATTCACCCAAACCTGTATGAGTTTCTTCTGTTGAATGTAAAAAGACATTTATTAAAAACTACAATGGAAGTGAATGGCTACCAGCAACTATTTGGTTAAAGAAATCTTAATTTGTGTTCATACAGATTTGGAACAACTTAAGGTTGAGTAAATGATGACTATTTTAATTTTTGGGTGAACCGCTCCTTTAATATTACTAATTTGATCACACTTTTCGCTTTGATTTACTCACACACAAACGACAGAGAATAAACCAATCCCGATGATGTTGTTGTATATCAACGCTTTTAATTCTTCAACAGTATTCTATATCCACTTCAGTATATCTGAAACACTGTATGAACACTTCAACAATGTTTCTGTCATTTATTTTCCATACAAACATTTTGATCTGTGACTTCGGTAAATCCTATGTTTCTTATAGTTACTTCAAAACATGAAGAACATCATCTTACAATAATTTCTAAGACATTGCTTCCTGAAATGTTGGACTAAAATAAAAGCATAATACATCTCAGCATTATTCAGCCAAGCGAATTTTGGCACAGTCAAGTAATTGCAAAAAACATTTTTAAGCAAAATTGAAACATAAGCAGAACTGTAGTAAGACACATCAAATGTTGTCGGTGTTACTGGCAGATTTTGGTGATCTGATCTATTTTAGTCAATAAATCTTATATTTACAAAACATTCCCCGTTAACACACACTGTGGGCTGAGGAACCATTTATAATATCATAATACTCAATCATAATAACCTTCCTGGGTTTATTAAGTTCTCTGCTATAGATGTAAATATATTTCTATATATTGCTTTAACTGCAATATAATTTCTTCATAAAAAATCCCTCAAGTCTCTGAAAATAGTTTTTTTCTGTTCTATAGCCAGTAGTTTTGGTCCCAGTCTATTATGTTGGTATATTTCAAGTTATGGCTTCTTTCTAACTGCTTCGACATGCTCGAAAGACAATTTAACTTTCCATTTAAAATAAAGGAAAATAAATAAATTTAAAATAAAGCACAAGAAAGAGACGTTTTTTTACAATGACCTCTCACAGACAAAAAAAACCAGAAGCTCTATTCTGGTTTTGCGTGCTCCAGCATGTGTAGAATTGGTACAAAGCATTGTGATGAGTTTTCACATACAGTACATCAATTTGACTGCTTTCTGCCGGTACCCTTGAGCTGGATCAATTATGTTTGGTTGATTTGGTTGATCTTAAGATTCTTAAAGAATCCCAAGACTGTTTCATGCTGCTATCAAGTGCAAAGTCCCATTATCTGCCTGACTCCATCTCCATCACGATGCTTTGGCATTTCCTTATTGGTCCGTGGATGTCAAAAGCCATATGATTGGATTCCAAGGAGAAGACATGTTGAATATTAACATGTCATAAACTGCCACACAGAAGCTGTAAGCAAAATTACTGGATACAACTAAATACTGTATGTATATAATGAAATGAATATTCATAAACTACTCAAGACCCTTCCCTGTTCAGAGGAAGACCTGCTCATATGGAGTCTATAGTCTGTTCCATCAGACAACAGGCCAGTCCTGGGTTGAGAATTGAAAAAACATTAGCAGTGTGAGGCCTCACGGTCCCGAGGGTCTGTAGCGGATTCACTCTCTTCAGGAATGTCCTGCAGATCTGTAGAAGATGAAGAGAAAAAACTATTACGTAAAAGAGTACTGAAAAATGAAACTGTATTTAGATATTACACACAGAAATGAGGCAGTTTTCAGTTCAGATGCTTTGGAATTTTACCAAATGATCTGGATGAAATAAATTGCTTCCTGATGATATAATTTATATCTAGAATGTGTACTGTAAATTTATTCAAGATTAACACTTGATAAGCCAAATGCAAGTTAAAATTGCCTTTGGAAAGTAAATTATTTGAATGGACAGACGGCCTGTAACCTTTAGGAACTGCAATCATGTCAGATCCTCAAAATAAGCAATGGGTATAAATTTATATAATTTTTTACCACACATGCCTACAAATAATAGACTAAACTGAAAAAAATCTACATTTATGTATAAAGAGGTTCTCCTGTCTGACAGAGTTTAGTGTGTGTTTGACAGTTTGTGTACCTTTGTGTATGTGTGGGTGAGTGTGGAAGGTTTAATATGATAATTCAATGTGTATGTGTGTTGTGCACATTGGTTGCATAATCGTGTGTAGGCTGCTGTTAGTGTTACAAAGGGCCAAAGTTTACAGCGTTCTAGGTGAAGCACATCTACGCAGACTGTCTGTTAAATATGTAATCGTTTCATATAAAAAAGGAACAAAATCAGAGCAACAAACTCCCTGGCAACCAGTTTCCTACATTGTGCTAATCTCTTGTATCTTTTCTTCCCCCTCATATAATAATTTCAATACTTAATGTATAATTATTAATGATTTATTTGATATGTAGCCATATAATAATATATATTATTATATTTACATTAATACATTATTATATTAATTTTAAATACATATATACATACATATTATTTGAATTATATATATATATATACACACATATACATATATATGAAATTGTATAAAAATATATAAAATAAGTATGTATATTCATATAATTATATGAATATGTTTTCATATCGGTTCTAATAATGTCCTTCTGTGTCATTCTACAGACCTCTGGGACTTTCTGAACGGGGAGACACCCTCGAATCCACCTCATCGTCCTCATCGTCATCAGATATCACATCCACTTCCACATCACTGCATTCCTGCAGGCCATCTGATTGGTCCATTGATTCCTGGCTAGCCAATGGGGTGTCAGTATAAGGGTCGGCATCGCTCTCTCTGCGAGTTGATGGGGCCTTGAAAAGAGAAAATTAGAAGCGAATGAGATTTGGGAGCTACAACATTGTAGCTCTTGCATACTTCAGTATGTGTCATGTGGTGTTTGACAATCTTTGCTTCTGGGTGCACAAATGAATTTAAATTCTGATTTAGATTAAAAGCTTGCTAAATACTGTAAAATGAACTCACCTGTGAGCCTGCA